AATGCTTTACACATCTCAATGAAACCAGCCAAAAGGCACAAGTTTATTTCTTAGGCATTAAGACGTCTAATAGAACAAATCCTTAAAAGAAAAAAGGCAAGATTAAGACGCCTGTAATAATATAAGACAAAAATGATAATGGTAAAGCTTAAAGCCAAACTGACCTACATAGATCCAATACATATTCTTTACCCACAGCAGCAAAACACCATAACACAAGTCACATATGAATTGGGAAATTTAAAATGAGTAGTTTTGGGAATTGCAGTAATCTTTTGTGCAACCTAACAGCATAATTTGAATCCAGTTTATTAGGGAACAACACAACCACCAAGGATGAAGCTATTGTGGAAAATATATATGTATATATATAAGTAGGGATTCACGTACACTAATTTTATGCATTATATTTATTTAAACAATTAACCATTCATCTCTTTACTTTTAATGGTTGAGACTTATTTACATTTATTCAAGATAATTATCTTTTTTATTTAAAAAGTCATTACAAATCTCAACTATTGAAAGTAGAAAGATGAATAGTCAAAATTTTACGTAAATATAATGTATGAAATTTGTATATGAATGGATTCTTCTTCTATATATATATATATGGGAAAAAAGAAAATTAGGACATCCTTACCTATTTTATTTGATAGTAATCATATGATGCATTTGATAAAGTTATAGAAGAGGTTTAAGGCCAGCCAATGACATGTGAATCCAATTCTCTGTCCTACCAGCTTAAGCTTTTGGGTTTGGGGTTTAAGTCCAACAGGCATGCATTGTACGTTCCTTGTGAGCTACTACTGACCTAGTTTTCCCACGAGAGCTAAGTAGGGGGTGTGCCTGTGTGGCCTAACTAGGTAAAGCATTCTGCATTAGATAAAAAAGAGATCTTGTGGAGTACAAAACAACTAATATTTAGGCCAAGAATTTCTGATTTGGCCCATATGAATCTTTACTAATAATGATATAAGGTACCAAAATTTAAAATTAATGATATGGTAAAAGTTGTCATTTAAAATTTTAAAAAAATAAAATTTATATTATTTAATGATTGATACTTTTACTTTTTTAAGACTTATAATATTATATACATTAATTCATCAAATGAAGATCTCAAAATTTGATCCTAAATTTTCATCCTCCTTATCATTACTCATTTTTTACCTATCTCGAACTAGGCAAGCTTATCAATTTAAAAATAAACAAAAACAAAGTTTATAAAAGTTGAGATTAAATTTTAAAAATGCTTGATCTTTCAAATATTTTATA